GACCTAAAACAGGAAGAATCTCATTAACTTGTTTGTCGTACAGTGACGTGTTAAGTATTCTTTCACCATATTAAAACTGATTACGCTGCACCGCTACTTCTCTATAATTAGACCTTTGAGTTCAGGCTATAGCCAAGGGGACAAAGAAAGGGAAGAAAAGGGAGCAGTGTCACACAAATCACAAATCGATACAAGAATGAATCCCACCAAGTGTGTTATGAGTGAAAGTTTCAAAAATATTGAGTAGAAAACATGCTGGTTTCTACAAGAGGATTTCGACGAACCCAAAGTCAAACTCCACCTCAGACTTCTTACAACAATGTATGCTGGGGCTTTTTAGAGAACCGCACTGGCGCCTAACCAGAGCATAATTGGAAAGCTGTTTGCAAGAAAATGCTTGATATGCAAAAACGAACAAACAACCAAGTAAATATCTGAACACAAAGAAATCTGCAAGTCTGAGTTTATTAAAATAAATCTAAATTAGCCATTTTCTGTGGTATCTGTTCTGAAATTGGTGCACCAGCTGTAACAGAAGGGAAATGCTGACGTTTATTTTACAGCTCTAACCAGATGTTTTCTTATACTGTCTGACTTTAAATCACACTGAATCTTTTCTGTCTTAACTTAGTTAGGATTACAGTGGACCTCTTATTTTAGGCGCATCTCCAAGTTATTTGGAGAAAAATATACTGATTCACGATTTTTTGGTTTTTCTTGGTGCAGTAACATTATTTGGAAATATTGTAGCAACATCTGAAGACATCCAACAGAAACTTGAAGTTTGGGCACATATAAATTCTTCCAAATAAACAATGAGCTAAACATCCAAAATCAGTTACAAAGTGACAAAATTGATATTTTTGGGGCAGCCGTCACAACGCCCAGATCTCAATCCGTTAGCAGCACCTGATGACATCTTCCTCTACTGCTTTATTGCCGGTCTGTCGGTCTCCATCCTAGTGCTTTCATGAACATTGAAAAGTAAGAAAAATTCGGTGACATTTTCAGTTATTATTGTTTTTATTTCTTGCCTTTTCCAACTCTGTCATTGCTTGCTATTTTTAATCATTAATATATTTATGCTCCAGGCTGGCTGAATGATGGTCTGGAGACAGAGGGTCCTGTTTTTGGCACGCTGCTCGATAACTGCCCATCTGCCTCTGGGTTAGAGTGGGTTTGGTTGGGGGTTTGGGGCGCGGCTGCACAGGAAGTGTTGGGTGCATCTTTTGGCTTCACTTTTTTTTTTTTTTTTTTTAAACCTTGTTACTGACTTGGTTTAAAACCAGCCTTTGTGACCAATCAGCCCTTTTGTTTCACTCGAAACGTTCTCCTGCCAGTGGGTGATGGAGGGATTATGCCACCAAAAACATCTTAAAATAAGATTTAAGGTGATAAAAAAAGAAGAATGACTAAAACTTTTACGTACAGCAAACCTGGTAAACCCCAGCCCCCCCAAAAAACAAATAAAAAACTAGTCAAAACTAATTATTTGTAACTTACTGAATCAGAAAAGCTGATCTAATCATTGTTTTAACTTAAAATCCACTTTATTTGTGCCTGCAGCTAAATGTTGACAAAAAGTTGACAGTTAGTGTATGGTTTGGAGTCTTAATTATTAACACGTCTGTGTTTCTCATTTGTTTTCTATTTTGGAGTGAAGTTCAGCAAGTGGCAGTGAGTTGTCAGTGTTTGTGCCGAAGCTCTTCTCTGTTCTCAGTTCACTGTCTGGCATTTTTAACACTATGAATAATTTACGGTGCTCCTGGAATTTAATTATTAATTTTTTGGAGCTGAGATCTGTCTACTTCTGCTGAAGGGAAGGCTGAGAGTTATTGCTCCAGAGGAATCACAAGTTTCCTGAAAGGAGACGTGCCAAGGTGTCTGGGAGGTCCGGCCCAGGAGAGCCGGGTCATTTTCAGTGAAAGCTTTGGAGGAGTTCTTCCTCTCCTTATGGATTAACCATGTGGAGGGTTGATGAAAATGAATATCCAAGGGTTTATACTAAACTACGAGGCAGAGAAGAGCACGCTACTCACTCAAGACCAGTATGATAATGAGGGAAGCAGTGCAAAGAATACTTAAAAGTTATAAATGTATTTAATATTCTTTAGTATCTTATTCTCTTTTGCCTACTAGCAAGGTTAGAAAAAGTGCAGTGCGGAATTAAGCAGATTGAAGTGAAAAGAGGAAGGCTACTGTAAAGGCCAGTTTTGTTATGCTGGAACAGCTTCTACTTTTAACTAGAGGCTTTTTTATTTTTATTTTTTTTTAACAGTGACACTAAAGTGTCTCTCTCTCTGATAGGCAGCCTGATTTATACAGTTTGTGTTGTCAAAGCGCCCCAGAGGCCATCTTGCTTTGCTCCCTGCCTTGTTTATTTTGCTCATGTCCCCTCCATCCAAAGCTACAAAAGACCACCGTGGCTTCAAGTTTTTGTTGTTGCTGCTGTTGTATCACTTCATCCCTCTGAGGTGTGTCACTTGTTTCTCTGTGTGTTTGTGTGAAAAGAAACCTGTCAGTGTTGATTATCCTGCTAGTTCACGCTTCTTTAGAATCACCTTTTATCCTGTCAGTTTAGGACATAAACACAGCAAAAGCAACAATGGATTATTTTAAAATGAATGTGTCTTTTGTCTGGCGAAAATGCATTTTGAGGAAGACTATATGATGATCCTGTGAAAAGTAAACAAAAAATATGACTCAGGGTGAACACAAAGGAAAGATGTTTTGACATAATAAAAAAACAGAACATTAATTTGACAGAGATGCTATTTGGAGTCAGAGGTTGTGATGGCCGCAAGGAAGAGGAAAAATCAAAGTCACACTGAGTGACTTTGGGCACAAAAATAAATGTAATAGTCACTCTGCTTTGGATTAGCTTTTTAGAAGTTTGTTGACATTATCTACCAGCTCCTGCAATAGAGGGAATAATTCTAGCTGAGTTTTTACATTGTCATGTAAAGTATGGAATATAAATTTCTCAAATGCTAGTGGGTTATCTAAAAAATCTAAATTTGAATTTCAATTAAGGAAAAGAACAATTTGTATTTAATTTGCAGTTTTTCCTTTTCATTTGGAACATCACAACTTGAGTTTTGATCAAACAAATGTATAATTTTGTTTTGCTGATTTAGTTACTGTGTGTGAAAGTTGATTCAAATCCATTCAAAAGATATTAGAAAAGGGACAATGGTCAGTGTCACGGGTATCCAAAGTGTGGCCTGGGTGCTGTTTCTGACCCCTTTGCTGATTTTGTCCGTCCCCCGACTGCTGCTCAAGAATGACACACATTTGGTCTGCCGAAAATTTGAGCCTTCATATTTTTATAGTTGGGGAAAAAATATATAGAGAATACATTAAAATTTTCGTACAATTGAAAATGCTAGTTAGAGGAAACATTCATCATTTAATAAAGCATTTTGCTCTACTATAATTTCACAATAAATAGAACCACATTAATCCAGTGGCTTTTAATTTACCGCAGGAATCAAAGTGTTAACGCTTTGACTATAATACTTAACAAATGCTAGATTCCAAACAGTTCTGTGGGAAGTTACTACACACACACACAACCACGCGCACACTCACAAAAATGCCTGCGCACATGCACACGCCCACACACCCGCACACCCATTTGATAATATATATTCATATGCCTGTAGTTTGGTGCCCTTATTTTTTTTAAACTGTTCATCAACTGTTGTGCGCCATTGTAGACTACTGTTTTTCAAATTCAAAGTCTAAAAGAAAATGCAAATGTGTGATCCGCCATGCAGCTTTTTCTGATGGATACCTGCAATTTGTGGGAAAATTTGCATTCAAACTAACCGTGCAAAAATACTTGGATCAAGAATTTGTTTGACCACCCTGAAACAAGCGCATTTAGGGGAATAAATTGACCTTTAACTAAATAGGCCTATTATCCATGCAAACACCAGAGGGTTCCTTTACCTTACTGTGCAGCCTTAAATCACCCTTCACAACATGGTAGTGCAGAAAACACAAAGTTAAACCACTCTCCTGCACATCAGCGGCCCAATTTGTCAAAAGCAAAGAGGCGACACACGGAGAATGAAATAAATTTAAAAGGAAAACAGTGAAACGTGACACATTGCTGTTGTGCTTCAGCAGCAGTCGTTCTCTCAGATTAATTATTTTAAGAAAAGTGATGTGTTAGTAGATGTAACTTAATGGAAGACTCCCCCTTTGATCCCATTTGTGGCAGCGTGAGATTAAATTTCAGACTGAAGCGACGAGCACGCCTGTCTCTGGGTGTGCATCTTATTCTTCGGGTGTAATGCAAGTTAGAATAATTAAGCTGGAGGGCCTTATGCTCAATAATGGACTTTGACAGTAAAATCAAAAAGGCCTGCACAGTGACTGATGAGATCTCAGGCCTTTGTTGTTAAGAGCAAAGAGAGAAATGTACAGTGAGCTTCAAACACAGAAGTATAATAATTACACGTCCTTCAATCTGTCGAATAATTCAGCTGTTGAACACGAAACGATCTCTTCATGCTTTCTGCGTGTTTCCGTCTCAAACGCCCATCACAAGGAGTAAGTCAAAGATGGACACTTACTGCGTTCGTTATATTGATCCATGCTTACACGAGCATTAGCACTCACTTACAATGAGAGGCATGTCTTCACCCAAACATTGCAGGGCAGCGTTGTCACACGCAGCCTCGCTTCTTTGAAACATACAACACACATGCAAACTTAAATAAGTGCGTGCCTTCACTCCGGTCTGCCGGGTTCCTCCAAATTGAATCATAAAGCAGCTGATGTATTCATCCAGTGTGTGTGATTTAACAAGGTTTGCAGCGTCTCGTCGTAAATCATATTAATAATCTCAGTCTACCATTGAATTTTTTATTTTTTTGTGTGTCTTTTTAAGCCACCATGGTGCCTTTTTTTTGGTATGTTCTTCGTTTTGTTACTTTCATAATCCACCCAATTCATACTAACACACACAGAAGACAGAAAACTGGTTTTCCTCTCACAAGTCTTTATTCATCCGCGTAGAAAAAAGACGACAGATCAATAAATGAAACAGCATTTTGCACTCGGTTTTGTCTATACATAAGTGTTTTCATTATCACATCTTTTTAAAGGAAAGATTTTCTAGAAAGAATGAATGGTAGCTTTACTGTTCTTTCAAAAATTGATTTTAAGAAAAAAAAAATACAGAGATAAAGAAACTAAAAAATACACACCAGAGCTCCTTGATTATCATTGATACACAGCAACACAGGAAGGAAAATCAGAAGAGTACAACCAAAAGAAAGAAGGAACGGGTTTCAACACTTAAAGGCTCTATCTAAGTTTCTCCTTTCTTCCTCTCTATCCTCCCTTCTCTTTTATCTGGAAATCTGGCTGTTTAAAAATGATTTTCCATCAAAGTTCCTCCTGCATTTGGGTCTATTAGTGGGCTCAGTGAGAGGCAGTCAGAGAGCAGGGGCTGCTTTCCTGTGGACGTGTTGGTGTTGAGATGCACAGTGAAGCGGTCGGGCTGTTAACAGATCTTCTATGCTTATCTAAGGCCATAAAACTGGACATCCTGAGTCAACAAATGTTTCTCTGCCAACACTTTATCAGCTCCTCTTAAATAATTTAGGTTAACAAACCTGTCTGATTTTCAGTGCTTTAGCTTAATAAAAAAATACAAGTTAAAATGTATTCTGCAATTAATTACTAAATTAATTGAGGCTGCAATTTTAGATAATCCAAAATGTATAGTAATATCTTCCCATTTTATGTGAAATGTAAAGTTGAAACAAGACATTTGTGTAAATGTACTGTATACAAAGACACATCCGTTTTCCCTCAATTTTTCATGCTTTAGGTCAGTTAGGAAAACACCAGATATTCATACAGTATTTGCTAAATGTCTCCATAAATCTTCAACGCTGGATCTAATTTCCAGAGACCTGAAGGTGCAACATTCATCTGTTTAAACAAATATATTTAAGTGTAAACATCAGGGGAATTCCCTGTCAAAATGACTTTCAAGAAGGATATGGGTTCTGCTTCCCAGAGTCCTGAAGTGACATAGGCTGAAAGGCCACTCAGACGAAGAAACCATTACTTTAAAACAAACATAAAAATTACACTTTGCATATGCCCTCAGGAACAATAATGTTAACCTTCTGAGGTCTGAATTTAAAACTGAAGTCACATTTGGATTAAAAGGTTTGATGCTTGCACCATCCTTCTGAGAACAATGGGAGTGGCAGCCATCATGTTGCCTGGGTGGTTTGCTGCAAGAGGACGGTTGGCGCTTCCCAGGTGACTGGAGACTCACAGATTACATAACATATAATCTGCTATTCATGTAAATTCTATGTGTAACAAGGGTAATATTGTTCGGAAATCTTAAAGCAAGATGTCAAGACATCATCCAGAAAGCTTGGGCAAAAGTGCGCATTTTCAATAAACAGTAACCCTAAGCATGTTGCCATAAAATGGCATGAAGACAACAGAGTCCAAGTTTTTTAGTGGTCTTCGCAAAACACTAAAATATTTTGAGAATAGGTCCGAATATTTCACAAATGAAATTGTTAAAAAACATTATTTCCAAATGGAAAAAAGAGAAATGTTTGTAATCTTCTGAATTAGAAAAAGAAAATTAAAAAGAGGCCTAAAAAAACCCTCTTTATTCTGGAATTTCTTAAATATTAAATAACTTTGGCATCACTAACTGACCTGAAACAGATAAATCTTCAAATGATTTACTGTGAGAGAAATTTGTGTCTTTATTTATAAATTCTATGTAAATATCTGGTTTACAGAAACTTAGCATCCTAAGTTTGGAGCTTGGACAGTCATATTGTGTTTTTAATTAAAAATGAAATCCATTGTTTTAAAATTTCTATATTTAGTGTCTGAACATATCTAAGATCACATAAGAAAATATGACGGGGTTGGTTTACTATATCCATGGTTCTATAACTGGTGTCACTTTCAAATGTATTAAAAGTGTGAAGTGTTTGAAGGCCCAAACAGTCCATAAAACTGTTCAAGGTCATTGCTCTATAATGAAATACTACATAAAAAGAGAAATTGGGAATGTTTAAAGAATCAAGAAAAAGTGAAAGTGGCCACTTAAGCTGCACTTCATTTACTTATGAAGTCTGAACTTGCATCTGGAGAAGGCCTCAAACCCAGTGCATCCATGATCCATGTTTGAGCTGCAAGTCAGAAAACTATTAGGCTATACCAATTGTTGTTAGTGTCCACACTAATCAGTGGACAGTAATCAGTGTGGACACTAACTACACACTACTTACTTTTGGCAGTATAAGCTTACACCTATCTAGGCATTTTGTCCATTCAAACACTATTAAATAATGTTCAATAGATAAACTCCTCCCTCTAACCTCCTTATGGCAGCCATTTTGAATTTTGACATCAGTATTGGTGAGAAACTTCAGTTTTTCCCTTTTTGAATTCTGTCTTCAGGGGATCTTTGTGTTTATTTTTCCAACATAGACTGTGGACATTTTTAATTCACACAGTGCTAAAATGTTTTTTTGCCCCTTTTTTCTTGTGAGAAACACAACAAACTGAAAAAGTCCTACTTTATTATGATGTCTCCACAACATTTTTGAAAACTTTGTATTTTGAGAAGTGTGTTTATTTTTAAATTAATATCCAATAGTACTTGATCAACCAACAATACTGGGGGTTTTGTATGATCAACTGTAGAACACATGAATATCAGAATGCAAAATCACATTTAATATAATGGATAGTTTTTATGAGTATGTTCCCCCTCTTTCTTTTTCCTGAATCACAATAAAAACAACAGAAAGAAAACAAATATCTTTAATCAACCCCAAGCTCCATAATGTGAGTAATAAGAGCTCAGTCATTGTAATTTCCTTCACAAAATGATCTGTTGCTCCAAGTTATTGCCAAATAAAAAAAGTTTGGCCTTACTCTTGAAGATAAATGGGTTACTATTATAAGATGCATGATTAGTTTCTTTCATTACTGTGTGAAAGATGATTTAATAATAAGACCAAGCCGAATTAAAAACTGAGTTCATGCTGTTCTTCTTAATTCAGAGTATTTTTTTTGTCTTGTTTGCTTGGAGATTATTTTGCCTTTTGTTTTTCTACCTTCTACCTCGCTTTGTTTTATTTTTTGAAATGTTCTCCGCTCTATAAATCAAACAAAGTTCAATCAAGTTTTTGACAGAATCATGCAGTCTTTTAACGCCCATGTTTGTTGGAAGCAGTGGCCACGCTGCGGGCAAAATTATATCCTTTTTTAAGATGAAGAAGTCACATTATTCCAGTTGTCAGCCCTCTTCCCCTCGATCTTCTTTTCCTTTTGTCCTCTTTTTCGCCTCCTGCCGCTTCATTGGTCACGCGCCCTTTTTTAACTTAACTCCTGTGTCTTTCTTCTCCTTCCTCACTCTCTGCCATAAGCAAGCCACCTCTCAGAGAGACTACATCCCCCCACCCAAACAGCACCCTTTTCTTTTTCCCCTTGTCGTCTTTTATTTTCTTTTCCTCCATCCACCCATCTATCCATCACCCCCTCGCACACACTTTCCCCCTTTTCTTTCCCACTCATTAGTCTACCCATGCTGTGGTTTGTGTCTCCCGTCTCTGTCAGAGCTGTTATCACTGCTGTCAGCTCCTTTGGCGAGAACAAAGTCGTCCTCTGCTCACAGCACCACAAAAGACACGAGACGAATGAAAGGAAAAGAGCTTCAGCTCCAAAAAAAGGAAAACAAAACTAAAAAAGAGGCGGAAAGATGGAAAAATTAAAAGGGGGTGGGGGGAGAAGTAAACCAGAGGAAAGAAGGGAGCAAGGAACACGTCTTTTCATGTCAGCCATGATGCATTGTCATCTGTGGGTTATGACAACCATTGATTTCTCCTTTCTGTCACCCATTTTATCTATACAGCACAGAGCTTACAGTTAGAAGGAAGATATGAGCGCTATCTCTATACACATCAAGTGCCTTTTCCTCGTATTATAAATATATCTCCTGCTAAATCAGCTAAGCCTAGTATATCAACCTCAAATAATTTACCGTGTATTATTATGAGCTGAGAAGAGCAGTACGTTTGAAAGACACTGAGATATCCAAAAGAGGAAACATAACCATTTAGAACAATAAGCAGTGCCGAGAGAAAAGCCTACTGTATTTTGTAGGATACAGCAGAAGAGTATAGTGGGACTCTTACTTCTGTTGCTTATTAACATTGTCCCATCATCATCATCATCATCTACTAACCAAACCAATCAGAATCGAACCATCAGAGGCACAGAGGGTACTTTGGAAACCAAGGGCAAAATGCCACCAGCGAACAGGGCTCTGGTAGCTCAGGGAGTGTGCCCTTTGTCATCACGTGTAGGCATAATCTATGTCGGGGATGCCACCCTCTCTGTAGCCACGATTGGTGCCATAAGTGACATGATGGTGGCTGGCTTGGCTGAGGATAGTGCCATTGAGACTTCCAGCTCCATGGCTGCTCCGGTAGGTCCCATTAGCTTGGGAGGAAGAGGAGGAGGAGGAAGGGAAAATGGTGTGGATGTATGTAACATCCTCCAGCTTAGGCTGCAGTGACTGATGGGCCATAGCTGTCATCTGAAAGCCTGCAGGAGGGCCCCTGATTTCCAGGATGGAAGTGTCTTTCTTGGTGCCTGACTCTACGTAGTCATCATAATGTTTCCCACCCCGACCTCTGCTGTATGAACCCGAGTCCCCAGACATGTAACCTGATCTCTGTCCATACCAGCAGAAGATGGCAAAGATTAGAAGCAAGCTCACTAATGCTGTGGCACCTCCTATAATTCCAGCTAGTGGCAGAGCTGTTAGCTCAGAGTCCTGTCCCTCTTTGTCTGTACCGTCCCCTCCAGAGCTGACATCTCCAGTCTCTATCTGAGCACAGGCTGGAGCTGAGTCTTTACTGTCTATGTCCATGCTGCTAGCTCGAGATGAGCCCATGCTGGATCCCCCAAAAGAGGCCTCCTGTCGCAGTGGCAGAAGGCAGATGAGGTAACGGGAACGTGGAGTGAGCTGGTTAAGGAGGTACTGCCTCTTCTCTCCAGCAACCAAAGTCTCTGTCATTGAGCCCAGAGCCACACTGCTTCCCATTCTTAGCCATGACAGGCGGAAGGAGGGTGCTGGCTGTGGGTACAGCCAACTCACAAGGACACTGTCTGAAGAGAGAGGTTTAACAGTCAACTCAAAGGCCTCTCCAGATACTTGTCCACCTTCCCCTGGAGGCAGGGGCATAATGAGACCTGGCCACTTAGGCCGCAGAGTGAAGAGAGAACCTTGTGTGGGGACCAATAGAGGGGCAGTTGTGGTGGTCCCATGAGGGACTACTTGACTCTCTCCAACATCATCTTCACCTCCTCCATCTTTTTCGACTGGGTTCACCACTTCTCCAGGACTAGAACCTGCTGGGGGGCCTTCACACTGCTCCATTAGTGATGTTAGATCTCTGAGCGACTGGCCCCGTACAGTCTCTGGCCCCTGACAGACAAGGCCTCTGACTGTCACTGCTGAACCACGGCCATGCAGCCAGGAATGAAGCCAGCGAAGGTTGCAACCACAGTTCCAGGGGTTTCCCCGGAGCAACAGTAACTCCAGGCTTTCGGTGTCTCTCAGAATCCCTCGAGGCAGACTGGTTAGATTGTTTCCTGACAGGTCCAACCTTTGTAGGCGCTTCATCCCATCCAGCGTTGCCCTCGGAATATGGGTCATCCCGTTGTCTTGCAAGTGTAGTCGTACCAGGTGAGCTGAAGGCAGGTTGACTGGCGGTGACTGTAGAGCATTCCTGACCAGCGACAACTCTGTCAGGTTAGATAAGCGAGAGAAGGTATCGTCTGCAATCCGTGTGTTGGCCAGCAGGTTTCCGTCCAGGACCAGACGTCGCAGGGAGGAGAGACCACGGAAGGCATGCGTTGGGATGGTGCTGATCCTGTTGTCATCCAGTCGCAACTCTTCCAGTGATGCGGGAAGGCCTGCTGGGATGCTCGACAGGTGATTCCGAGACAGAAACAGCAGTCGTAACCTTGGAGTCCCAGAGAAAGCTCGATCCTGGATGCTAACTGTTGATATTGAGTTATCATCCAGGTGTAAACGTTCTAGTAACGGTAACTTGGCCAAAGCTGATCGCGGTAACGTTCGTATATTATTATCCTGCAAATGAAGCTCCTTTAGGGATGGAGGAAGGTGTATCGGAAACTCATCCAGTTGGTTGGCATATAGGTATATCACTCTTATAGAAGTGCTGCGTTCCAGTGACTGTGGCAGCCCAGCATTGCTCAGGCGGTTGCTCTGCAAGTAGAGGATAGCAGCCGTTAATGGCAGCGGAGGGATTATGCTCAGGCCACGGTCGTTGCAGTAGACAAAGCCCTCATCACAGCGACACACGGAGGGACAAACAATTCCCTCATCTCCCTCGCCTGTCTCCATGGCGATTGCAGCTGCCGCCAGCTCCAGCACTTCAGCCAATAAAGTGAGGACCAGGAGGAGGAGAAAGAGCCAATCACGGAGCTCAGCAAGACTTTCGGCTGCCATGTTGGTGAAAGGTTCCTGACCTGAAGAGAAGGAAAAGCTATATTAATTCAAGGATAGGTCAATCATTCTTAAGCCAAAGGGGTACTGACATATTACATTCAAATAAAATAAAAAAAACCCAGACCAGATGTTGCACGTCACGCTCAGAAGACGTCACTTCAGTTTTCAATTCCCACCTGCTGGCTAAAAGTGAGGCCTTTTAACTCAAGAGTTGAAAGGAGTTGGGAATAGAATAGTCAGATGCCCTGAAGAGAAACTGTCCAGTTCTATATGGGTCAGAGCGTCCAAGTAGAAGACAAAGTGACATTTAGATCCAGTGAGTTCAACGAGGAGTGGGTTGACCGGCGATAAAGATCATAAGAATCGGAGAAAATAAAGAGACAACAGAAATGGAGAAAATTGGACAGTGACAGTTGAAATGGGGGGCAAGAGGGCTTTATTTTCTATGAGGTTAACAGAAATGGAGCGCGTGACACAAAAATGCAATGGAGGATAGATCAGGGAGAAGGAGATTAGATTAATTGGCTGTGGCGCAGTTGATAGATCTGAAAACAAAAGTATCAAAGTTGCTGTGACAGTGTTAGATCTGACCCTGGCAGAAAAGGAGGATAACAACTCAACAAAGAAACATTAATTTCACAGATTTTTGAAGATTTACTCTGATTCATAATGTGTCTGAGGTCATGACCATTCTGTGAACTGTGAACACAAATTAATGACCATACTGAGCAGTAAGTGCACGTAATGTGCAGTCTTTAAATTCTACAACATGTACAATGCACATTTTCATCAAGTGGTTATTGTTCGTAAATTTTTCCAGACACACTTGGAAGTGTGTCTAGGAAGCTTTTATCATTCAGAGAAATATTATTAAAGCACTCTTAAAAACTACTGTCTCACTTACAGATGTAAAACACACACAAAAAAAAAAAAAAATTCAGTTCTTAGGTAAACAAAGCTTTCCAAATGAATCTGGCCTTATCTTAAGAACTACCTCTTACCTTAGGTTAGTTCCCCCCGTTTCATGTTTCCTCCATCTGTTAATAATTACTGCTACTGTGGTTTAATGGAACCTTAAACAGTTACTTTGCGGCTTGTGTGGTTATTACTTATTAATTTTTTACATAGAGCCAACTGTTTCCATTTAAATTAAATGTATTCATTTAAGAATTGGATTAACTAAGGCTGTCTTTCATATATTCAATGATCTACAAGATTTAAAATTCAGAAACCGTTGAAATAGTTTCAACGGTTTTGTTCCTCCTCCCCCCCAAAAAAAATATTTAGATTGAAATTTAATAGCATAAATGTTTACAATTCAAGTAATATAGTGTCTTTGCTTTCCAATTCAGTGCAACTATATGTGCAGTTGGAGCGATGTACAGTAACAAATTTGTTGGAATTACATTTTAAGCAATAAACCCTTTGTCTTCAGCTAGCCTGCGGCTGGAAAATGTGCCCTGATGATTACAGGGCTGACATGATTTGACAGCACATTTGATAAACAAATCCTCCAAAGGCAAGTTTCTTTTCTGCCCCCCTTCTGTATACGTACATGTGTGTTCGTGTGTGAACTCTGTGCTCGATGCAAAATTGCCCTTCGGCTGCAGTCAAAATTCATGCAAAGCAAACAAGAGATGGCGACAATAGAAGAAATGAAGAGGTTGGAAGGGGGTGAGGAGACAGATGGAGACTTGGACAGTCAGTCATGGGAGGAGAGGGGAAATGAGTTTCTGGCAGTGAAGACTGAAGTCGGTATCAGCTGAGTTCGCTGCAGCAAGAAGAATGGATCCAAACCCTGACTGGGTGTTGTTTTTTTCTGGTAGATAGGTGTAAAAATAGCTGTGTTTGGTACTTTTATATGCCTCTGTTGCATGTCTCTGTGAAAATGTGACAGAGATCTGTATCTACAACAACCAGCTTCTGTCTCTGCCTGACACAGTATTAGATACATCAGGGCGAAAAAGTGTCTGTGTCACAGAATTTGGCATTAACCCTGTCTTCACTTTCTCTGTTCATAATCTTATTTTTAGCTCAAATCTGTGTTTGGAAGACAGAAAAAGTACAACAGATATACACAGGCACATAAAGGGAGTGTAAAGGTAGGAGCTGAGACCAGATTGGGATGCTCTATGAATATCAACTAGCATATGTTTCAGTGCCACAACATCTCCACTTCCCTCTCATAAATATCCTCTTGGCACAAGCTTGTTTGTGTGTTTTCGCCCACATGCCAAGGTTTCCAATCGACATGTTGCTTTAATGATCTTCAGATTTTCTGTCCTACGCCATCCCTTATTCGATCTCTTGCTGTCTCGCCTCTCTGCTTCTTTCTCTTTTACACCATCTTCCTCTCTCGTCCGCACACCTTCCCTTTATGACTTGTCATTATATCCACTTTAAGGTTTGTTTACAGAACTATCCTTGTCCTCTTCCACTGTCTCTATTTTCTTCTAATCCTCTTTTATCGTTTCCTCTCCAGTTGTTTGTTGATTCCTGCACACTGAGATTGGATCAATCAGAAGGGGTTTAGTCTCCCTGCCTACAACTCCTCAGCTCGTCTCCTCTCTTCCTTAGTAACAGAGATCTGGATGCACCAGACCACCTCCTTTGCTTACTTCTACTCCCTCATCCTCTTTCTCACTCCTCAGCCTCATCTTTATTGTAGAGATGGACTGATCAGAGATTCTGTGTCTCCAATTTTGCAAATTTTGACATACAGAAACTGATTTTAGTGGATTCACCTTAAGAAATATAAGTCAAGCTTTCAAAGTATATTTTCTCTACTGTATAGATTTTTTCTAATTCAAGTGTGTGGAAATAAAATGTTTGTCTAATATACTAATGCAATAAAATCCTAAAGGTTTGGGATGGAAGTTTCTGTACAAATAAAACCAACTAAAGAGAACAGAATATCTACTTTTTTCTTTTACATTACAGATTATAGCAAATTAAACAAGTATCACCAGATACTTGTTTAATTTTTGCAAGATCCATTCAAAGTAAACGAGTTGCGTCTAGCTTCAAATTTGAGCAGATTTAGTGCCATATAGAGCTGTGAAAAAGTATAACAGCATTTCAAGGGGACAAAAATGTTACGTCTACAAACATGGTGATTGTAGTGTGATCTGTGGTGTTGCTTTGTTTCCTCCAGTTTTGGACAACTTGCTGAAATCTATTATATCATGACTTCTGCTGTCGGATCATCAGTTCCTTCCATCACGTTTAAACAAACTTGTGTTTTGTAGCGTGTTAATAAAAATTTCCCAAAGTCAGTCTTTAAATGCTTAAAAACAAAACACCAAAAAAAAAAAAAGGTTTGGGGTAGCCTATTTAGGGTCCATACCTAAATTCTACCGAGATGTGAAACAGGCTGTTGGTTCTAAAACCCTTTCATTTGGCTGGATTAAAACAAAGTTCAAACAAAATTTTCTTCACTCTTTGCCAGCTATCGCAAACATTTCATGGCAGGTTTTACTATAAGGAGCGCGAAAATCAGTTTTCACAATGGGCCGGGTTGGTTTGCATTTGTGTTCTATAATAAATTAAATTTTCACTTGAAACCTGCATTTTTGCATTTAGTCAGGAAATCTTTTCACTAATACTGACAAAGAGTTCTACACTGAAGACAGTTTAGGTGTGGCGTATTTAATGATGGCAGAAAAGAGATCTACCAGTGATAGGATTAGTGGATTGTATAATCAACCAGTTTCTTGGCGCACCTCAATTTTTTGACTTAATGTGTGCAGACCAACATGCCCCACAGTTAAAACAGGTTCTAGGAAAGGTCATCCTTGAAGCACTGAGCCTTTGTGTGTCTTTGTATTTTTTTTTCTTATCATGCAGCAGAAACGACCCGTAGGTGTAGTGAATCTCAATGTGATGAAAGCACAGCAAAGACGTGTGTGTAAAAGGTCTGATCGACCCAGAGTGTGATTGCCGAGGGCTTTCTAACCTGCTCAGTCTCTGTCTTTCACGTCCGCCGCAGCTTTGTTTTTCCTGTATCGGGGATTTGTGGAGAGGAGTATTAGAGTGTCTGTGCGTGTGATTGAGGATGCTGCTTTGGATCTCTCTGTGTTAGCACAGTTTCACAGTCTTCTTTGAATCGCTCAGATGTGTAGCCTCTTTCCTTTGGGCTGTTGAATCTTCCTCAGCTTGGGTGAATGATGATAGGGATGATGATAGCCTGTTCTCCAGGGCTCCACAAGTAGCAATATCAGCATGGCTCAAAGCCTCCACAGCGTCCACATTTGTGTGTGTTGGATGGGTGTTAGTCCTCCTGCCAAGCTTGTTCTCTCTTTCTGGTTATGGAGCTTTCAGGCCTGCCAACTTAAGTCATCTTCATTGAGTGACCAGAGGTTTAATTCTGAAACAAACCCTCCCCTCCACACCCAAATGCTACAGTCGGGCAGGCAGGCAGTCAGAAGATGGCTGGAAGCTTAAGGGTCCTTCTTGGAAGTCAAAAGCAATCCTGGATCCTCATGCAAGCACTAGGTCATGCTAAAATAGTACAGTACCATGTCACACTCGCTTTGAAGATGCAGGTTGTAATTTTAATTGATGCGCAGCGGGGAGAGAGATGAGAACAAGCAGCAAATAGTCCTCATAGGAGAAAATCTGATCTCTTGTTTAGGTTTTACAAGCACAATGATAATTACTTAAATGTCACAGTTTGATGATAACAATAGTTAAGATGTTAAGAGGATATGATGAACAGAGCTTCTTCCGCTGTCCCTCAGTTTAGTCCAACTATCCTTTTAGTTTACACAATCATCTGAAAATTCAGTGAATATTCACTTCTGTATTCAATCCACCTGGAGCAGCGCAGGTATGGAGCTCCAATGAGGAGTTCTACTGCAGTCTCTTTAAAATCCTTCACGTTAGCAGTTCAGCCGCTGGTTGGGATGGTCGTCAATCATCTGAAAAGACAAAGCAGATTGGAAACAGATGTTAGAAGAGCAAGGAAACAAGCCTGAAAAAAGTATTTATTTGTTTTATGCTTCACTAGTATTTTATTGCCGCTGTTATTTAGCTATGGATTTATTTAATCCATTTATTTTAACAATAATATGATATGAATATTTGAAAACAATGTTAGTGGTAATAATAAAAATCAGAAATACTTATAACTTTGTAAATATACACCTACATTAACAAAAAAATGAACTGTTCAACTTGATACAAACACAAACCATCTCTGACTTATTTCAGATTTTTTCATATTAACTTAATTCAAATTCATGTCTTTGATAAGCTTTCCATACATAAGCTTAAGTTTTGCTTGTTTTATTTTATTTTTGCCAGGTAAGGGAGTTTGGTTGATTATCTGGTCTTGTGTTATTTACACCAGCATTACTATTGTTCAAGCCCACCCAAGCTGACTTTGGGCCAGAGGTGAGGGCACAAGCAGCATCGATAAAAAGTCTATCATTCAGCTACAGTCAATTAAATATCACTGATTAGCTTCTTAAATGACCCATAAAAACCATTATCCACCTGGCAGAACAAAGCTTTATTGCTGGGCATCATTGATTTATTTACAGAAAGGCCTGCACCGTGTTTTACTTTTAAACTTTTGTCACCGCTGACTAGTGAGCCCTGTCCCCACCTGTGTCTCACTGCATGACAAGGTCATGTTTGCTGCACAGCCACATCCCCAGTATTCGCTGTTCTGGTAAATCAGTTATGACCTGGAAGAGGTGGGTAGAGGGTGAGCTGAACCAATGCAGGCTATAGATTCATAGGAGAGGTCTAAACTTTTTTGGGTTTTTTTCTCTCAAAAATCAATAATGGTCCTGTGTAAACACTCCTGTCTGTTTAGTTTTGTAAATAAATAATAGAACATTTTCTGAAGAAAACTTAGATACCAGGAAAGGCCTGGCCAGTTCTTCAGATTAAAAGAATTTGGTTGCCAGCTCAGTTCACTGAAACTGAACTATTTAAGTTTCAGTAAACTGAACTGAAGTTGAAGCCTTTGGTCCGCATATGTGCACATAATCGTTGAACTGCAGTCTGTACAACACCGTTGTCTTTCCGGCAGAGTCTAATCCAAAAATGGTGATGTGAAGGACTGGAAGAATGACATGTTGGAGGAAAGCTTCGGCTGTTCAGACAGTCCATTCCCCATCTTTCTACATCGGGAGGAACTGGAAGTAATCCTCACAGGCGTTTATAGTCCGAAAAGGCAGCAGGAATTATCTCTCAGTGCGAGAGTCCTCTGTGGATAAAATGTTAATCCAGGTGTTTCCAATATGTTGACTTCTACTGTCAGGTTCCTTGAATTAAGACCAGAGAGGACATCTATCTGACTTTTTATCTGGAGATCAAGGTCTCAGACTCTTGAGGAGGAATGAAGAGCCAGAGAATTAAAGTTACTTAAGGTTCAGTGGGAAGTTGCCGAAGTGGGCTGGCGTTGGTCCACTGAGTTCAAAATCAGTGCCATCGTCTGTCAGGTGATGTCAGTGCAACTTGTGCTTCCCTCTGCTGATGGGCTTAATGGGGATCCTGGTTTCATTTCCCAGCTAAACTTGAAACCTGCCTTCACTGCCAAAAGTACCAAGCCCTGCTTTAGTTACCATAGCTTCACTGTATGTTAACAGACAAAAAACTGGCCTGACCTGAACCGTATAGAAGAACTATGGGGTCAAGAAGAAGCAATGATGCAGAAAAGCTGAAGGGACCTATTAAATTAGCCTGGGATTCCTTAACACCTCAGCAGATCCCTGGACTGCATTTATGCAGTAATTTATGCAAAAGGAGTCCTGACCAACCATAGAATAGGTATAATGGACACACTTAGAGTAGACTGGCATATGGCATTTCCTGTGCCACTAGTTTTTGATTTACTAAAATAAAGTAACGCCTGGATGGTGTTCTAAATTATTGCTGCTGTAGAAACCATTATAGTTTTTAAATTCTGATACTGGAGTTTGGATGCTATCACTAAGCTAAATAATTTTTTTTTTCTTTTCCAGTTTCAGTTTGTTTTTTTAAATACCAGCTTTGTTTTAAGCAACGCCAAGATATAATGTTGAGTTTCACTGTTGGCACAATATGGAGAACTAAAATGACTAAATAATTATCCCCCTGAGAATGGTTTTACCTTTTAAAATTAAGTACATTGTGAAAATGCTTTTTGAAGGTCAACACTGCATATGTACAGCATTACGCTCCCAGCGGACAACAAACCTCCCATTAAGCAAACGCCATGTTTTATGTTGGTCCTTTACTTTTTTTCCTTTCACACAAAGCTGAGGATCTTTTATTAACCACCACTCACTAAGTGCCTGTATCTTATGAGCAAAATGAAACCCCTGGTGAACACTGGTTTTATAAATATAAGGTTTTCATCAGGCTCACACAGAGTACACAGAGATAGATTCATCAGAAGCCATTAACTACTCTGCTGCTCACATTCGTCTGTTCACTTCATCTCACAGTAAGTAGACTACAAAGCCAACTGGGAGATTTTCATCCAGTTTGCAAAAACGCAAACGAAAACAAATAAAACTGTCCTCATTTTCCTTTCTGAAGGACACATGATGAAGCCGAGAAGGATTTGTTTAACAGACTAGAGACAGAGCCTGTGTGTGTGTTCATGAAGGGTGCTTAATGCCTAAACTGAACGCCTGACAGTGTAAATTCAAGGTGACGGTATGTGTGTGCATTTTTGTTTTACATTCAGCAGCATCACTGGTTAAACAGATGGGAAAGAATGCATTTTACTGGGTGCAGTTTATAGAAAGCGGTTATGTAGTGATATAAATCGTCCTATTCATAAAAACAGCAGCAATGTGATATCCGGTTCGTGGATTCTAAACTGATTTCTATGTGCAGAGTGAAGCTGAAATATGTAATGAAAGCAGATTCATTTGGGACAGAAGACTAAACATAGTTTGAAAAATGTTATTTGCATAGAAAGAACATAGTGGGGAGTGGAGCTAAGCGTAAAGAGAAGCAGCATTCAGCTTCTATGCGCCACAAATCTGGAACAGACTTCCAGAAAACTGCAAAACAACTGAAACTCTGAGTTTCTTTGAATCAAGACTAAAATGTTGCCTGTTTATAGTTGCTTTGAAATCATAATAAATGGAACGTTGACCAACATGTTTGATGTGTGTTGATGGTTTTGATAATGCCATTCATTAAAATGTAATTTTTGTTGCCGATTTCCCATTTGCTGACTGTATGGCATATTTTGTGGCTTTTTTATGTGTTTTTATTATGTAAATCTTTTTGGACTGCCTTGAACTGAAATATTCCATACAAACATACTTGATTGATTAAAGAAATTACCTAATCATACTTCCAAGAATATAAAAGCTATCTCAAACATAGAATGATGCATAGCTCATAAAAGAATAAAGAATAAATGTACTGCTGAAAGTTTATAAAGCAGAAGAAAAAGGATTTTTTTTAAAAACCCCAAACATCTGTCTGTACTTCATTATTTGAAACCATATTAATGTTTGCTACTTGCCTAATTATCAACCACTAGCATCAAAACAGAGCATAAACAAGCCAGTGGTAGCCTAACTTTAAGTCAAATGGTTCACATAAAAGCAGAATAGGCAAGAGAAATATGCAAGTTTGTTGAAGACACTCTTATCTGTCCGGTTAGATTTATATGTTGAAACAAAACTCCTCTTGGTTCAAAATATCTGTCGCTGTCAAGAAATACTGAGACTGCATGCATTAGATTAGCAATGATAAATTAGTTAATTGGGATGCAGTCACAATACAAATGTAGACCATGAAGAAGGCTGCTGACACATAGGCTTTTTAATGCACTTTAAAGCTGTAGTTCTCAAACCTATACATGGCATTAATTTAATGTAATGACTCAGATCAGTATCAGTGAAATGTATTGTAATTGGGACAGCCCTAATGAAAACCATTGTCAGAGAAAATAAAATTATCCTCGAATTAACAACAGTGCTTTTCAAAGAACCAGAGCTTCTTTCTCTCTATGGTTAGTTTACGGAGGATTGAGCTGAAGTGTTAAGTTACTGTGATCTGATTGTTCAACATGTTATTTTTAGGAAACCAAAACATGTTCCTCTGCTGTTTAAAGAGGTAATCTCTCCTGGTAAACCTTGATCCCTAATATGCTGCAATGCTTCCCAGTGATGATAGTTTATTTGAACAACATCAAGCCCCAATCTGTATGTGCAAACAACAAGATTACTTCATTGAGGAAGACTGCAATTGCTAAGCTAAGATGTCTGTAGGCATGATCTTAAACCAGATCAAAATAATTTTCACATTAAAAGGAAAAACGTAAGAAAAGCTTTGCGAGAATAGTAAAAGCTCAGATTTTCCAAACTCTAAATCTCTAAAAGTTTTTTTTTAAATGATGCACCAGAATGGAAAACACACTCCTCTATTAATATTTTTTTATGTTTTTGTTTACATTGAACTGTATTTGAACTGGAGCTGTATTCAAGCAGCTTTAAAAATGGAGTTCTAAAGCTGAATTAAAGTCTATAATTTACCATTGTTAGTTGTGTATAAAAAGCTGCGGTCACCTTGAATATTAAGAGCAGTTAGTTTAAAACAACCTCCTGTAATATAATTTGCTCTGAGGTCCAACCTTTCTTTCACCCTTCGCTAATCTTTATCTACGGCATGCAAAATAACTGCCTGTATTGGTGCCTGTAAATGCCTACTGAAGATCAGCAGCATTTCCCCACAGCTCGCTGCCATCACGCATTAGATCCTGACGTGTGTGTACAGTTAAGGTTGCCCTTCAAACTTTCTGTCAGGGATTTTGAGAAATCAAACCAGGTATAGACAGATGGAGAGGGGGTGGGAGGAGTCCATGAAATAGAAAAGCAGGCAGCCAAGAGTCAAAAACATTTAGGCAGATGGGAGTTTATAAAAATATTTATCAAGGTGTGTGGAAGGTTAGAGGAAAGGG